CCTGCATACGACTGCGTGCATGCATGCAACGTCCAGGCCCTCAGGCAGAAGGCATATTGTATTTATAGGTGTCATTATCAGCTACACCAGTCAAAAAAAGCCGATAATGTTAATTTTCCTTTTATTAGTGCCAATCCGACATGCAACTGATATATCCATGTACCTCTATACTGTATTTATAAAGACAAGAAGATATAGAAAATAGGAATATTTTCCTTACGTTGAAGATTAAGATACAAAGGACACTGAAACATCAAGGGACGCATATGCCAGAGCAGTGAGTAACACAGGAAAGATTTACCTAGTATCTATCAATCTGATGATAGCATCTAGAAAACAGCTTCAGGATGGAGGGCAGTGGAGAGCATCTGAAGCATGGGCATCCTCCTGCATCTTTACTGCAAGGAGGTGGCTGCTCCTGAAATCTTTTCGTTTCTTGTAGGAAGTTAAAAATTAAAAATTTAAGATGCTCTGGGCCTTAAGTTTTTGTTTTAGGGGAGCCACCATGGTAATTGTCCAAACTTTCAAGTGTACAGCCTAAACAGGGATACCTGGACTTTTCGGTACAGCACCAAATTCAGAAGACATACTGAGAGAGTTCAATCAAGGAAAATTAAGCCAATTAGAAGTTTTCTGAAGAAACAACTGGCTAGAAAATAATCACATTTAACCTCTGTGACAAAAAGATGACAAAGCATACATTTTGGTAAGAAAGAAAGATAAGAGCAATTTTAACACCTTTGTTTTCAAAATCACTGACCTCTTGTTCCCTTTGAAATATAACCACTCTACCACCTTTGTCTCCTGTTGCAAGAAGATCTCCAGAGTAATTAAATTCAACTGTTGAAATAATATCAGCTGTAAACAGAAGAGACACAAAATAGCATTGTAACACATAAACCAAACCAATAAAGTTTAGGACCTAAAAACTGAGTGAAAAAGAAAAAAAGAAAAATCAATTGCACTTTCCTATGACAGCAAAACAATCCCAGCTATTTTACATTAATATCAAAGACTAACAACGTGTTTTGTTCATGGTTTTGATCAATTTTTTATAGATCCAAATTGTTCAAAAATACATTTTTTGAATCTGAAAAGCATTATGATTCTTATAAAATCTGTTTAATTAACTGGTAGTATTTAACAACGGGATAGGAAGAAATATGATTCACTGGATTATCTGAAAACCAAATTATATGTTTGTGAAGTACAAATCTTAAGGTCTTCAATCAAAATAGGTAAGCAAGTAAGCTCTGTGCTGTACAGCACTGAACAGAAAACCAAAATGGTGATGGATTTAGGATGAGAAAGTGGTCCATCTGGTCTAGAGGTCCGAAGTAGAGACTTCAGAGGAAACTGCAAAAAATTCTGCAGTTTGTCGTTTATATCTTAGGAAGAAAGGAATAATTTCCTTAAATTACTGAGCTTTAGGATCTGAAATATATGAATTATAGCTTCTATACATGAACTGAAATGTACGTGTCCAGTTGGCAAATCACTGAAGAGTGAAAAGGATGACCATAGTCTGAACCTCAAAACAGGGTGTTTACATATATTTAGACAACCTTGTGGGATCCCAGCTAAATTCCCATGGACAGCATATCTCCCTCCAGAACTGCTAGTAAGCAAGTCTTAAAGTTGCTTAACTGAATGAAAAAGCTACAAGACCAGAAATGCTACAGGATATTTGGATGAATTGCATGGGAAAACCCGAGAAGCAGCAGTGACATTTCATTTCAGACTTGCTCTCTTAACTTTCTATCATTTATATTTAAAAAATATAGTGTTGTTGATTAGATGTATTTTAGTGCAATCATACTTTCTATTTTAACTAAGTAATTTTACATAAATTATTCTCCTTTGCATGCAAATTGCCCCATAACTTAAATTGTAACTTAAAAAATAATGAAACTGCACGTATGAAACTTGTATGAAAGGGACTTTATTTTAAAGTTAGTCCCTTTCATACAAGTTTCAAATAGCAGGGACCACACTCCTAAAACTGCTTTAAGACAAGGGCAACCTCCCCTCAAGGTGAATTATTTTAAGCATGAGATACTAAAGAACTGATAAATGACAACAATATGCAAGCATAGTAAGAAATTTGGATTTGTTGGCTCCAACAGATATTCATAAGTTGCTTACAAGACAGTGTGTGTATTTTTGGTTGAAAGCATACCTGTAATATTTGTTCCGTTTACACTTGATTGATTACTAATTCACCAAGAACCAGATGTGTATAGGCATAATGGACTGTTTAAAAAAAACCAAATGTCCAGTTTTGAAAAATAAATCTGTCAATTAGGTAAGATATCAGCCTTAAAATCTGGCACCTAAGCAAATTTGCAAGCTCACTTACAATGTGTGTAAATATATGGAAAAGTAAGCATGCATATTACCCAGGACCTACCTAAATCATGGCAGAAGTTTGTGGTGCACCAATGCCTTAAATCTCACTCTTTTCACCCCCACTCCTGTGCCACTGACTGGCCAAGGGGCAATAAATGTCACAATTTTTGACTCTCGGCAAAAAGTCAGTATTTTAGAAAAGGAAGCCATATGAGAGATTTAAAAAATAAATTACTTGTCTTTTCTACTGATACCTTGGAACCAAGAGAGGTGCTAAGAGTATGTAGAGCAGGGGTGTCCAACCTTTTTGAATGTGGGGCCAGATCATGAACTTTTTATCACCCAGTGGGCCAGTGAGCCATATTCAAAGACCTCACAGGAAGCAGTATCACATCAGGAAGTGATGTCACGTGGCCTTTGACACCAATGAAGTTGCAGGAAGTGACAATGAAATGGGTCTAACCAGTTCAAAACTCTCCCTCTCTAGCATTCACCTCTGCCACTGTTCGGGACAGGATACTGAGCTAGATGGACCATTGGGCTGACCAAGCATGGCACTTTTTATGCTCTTATGTTCTTTGGCTGAGCTTCCAAACTATGGCTTAGATTTGCAAAAAAGGGGTAAATAGGCATGTTACAAAGTTGTCATAAAAGATTTGGAGCCCTCTAAATCCCATTCATTTTAACGGAAGTTAGCCTTTTGACTCAGCTTTGAAAATCTCAGTCCAAAGTGCCAACCAAATAAGTTAAAATATATATTTATGCAGTGCCTCTATGTGGGGCTCTCCAAGCATTTTACAAACATTAAATGAACCTCAGAATATCCCTGCTTTTCATAAGAAATGTGGTGAGGAGGACATTCTGGGAACATCTCTCACTCTCTGTGTGTGATCTGCTTCTACAGTCATTGGACCACCCTAGAAGGGTCCTCACTGCCTCATTTCCAGTTCAGAGCAGATAAAGTGTAAGTGGGTAGGAAGGTCTTATTTTTTGGCAGCAGGTTTGAGTGGCTTGAAGCTAGTGAAGATGTACCCACAATTAGTCACTGACCAGAGTGGGAACACAGTTGTCCTCACTTATTAACATGGCTCCAAGGCCCTGTACTGTCTCTGCTTACATGTTGCTCTCACGTCCTCTTGCTTTCCTAAATCTCATGAGAGTAGTGGATTCCCATCATGCCTACTAGACTGCTGTCACCGGATAGCTGTCCTGGTTCTAAGGTTGTGCTTCTGACTCTTTCATGGCCTCTTTTAGGGTGTGCACTTAGAACTCTAGTTTTTCCTTCCCGCACATTTTGCTGAATTGTGATTATTCCCACGGGGCATGAATTTAGTTCAGTGGCTATGATTCTGCCTTCTCATACAGAGGCAATGACTCTCACAAATTATGGCATATTTTAGTAGGATAAAAACATTTTGAAGGCCACATAGAAAGCAATAAGCAGTCTTTACTCATATGAGCTTACCATGTATCAACCACCTGCTACTTGGGTTCCTGGCAGGTATAGTCATAAGTTTATTAGCACGTTGTTCCGGAGTAAGTCTCTGTGCCATAGCCTACATCAGGTCTCAGCCAATCTAGGGAGCCTGACTCCTCCCCAGCCATAGGCTTGTCACATTATACCCATCTGCTGGGC